TGTGTTAAGAATTAATTTACATGATAGATATAGTTTGCCAACTATGGTGCCCAGCATTTATATTTTTTTATTTCTAAATATATATTTTCTCTTTATTTTATTCTTTCCCCATCCCCATTAATTCCCCTCATCCCATCTTCCACCTCTACCCACTTCTCTACCTCGCACAATCACCACACTGTTGTCCATGTCCATGAGTTCTTTCTCTTTTTATTCCTCATTTTCTCCACCCTACACTCCCAATACTTACCCCATACCAGAGTTGTCTGTCTGGTCTCTATCTATGAATCTATCTATTTTGCTTGTTCATTCAGTTTGTTCATTCAATTCCACATATGAGTGAAATGAGATGGTACTTGTATTTCTTTGGTGCCTGGTATTTAGTACAATATATGAAAAAATTATAACCTAGTCCTCTATTTTACTTTTGTTATACCATCTCAGTAAAGGTTATAATTTAATGGTAGTGGTTGGTGAAAGCATAACAGGTAAGGATAGTGAACTTTAGAAGTGTTTTTCAGTTTGTTTCTTAGTTCATTTCTGTATAAGGAAACATGAAGTATCAAACCCATGGAGAACTACCAGATATTTAGCGTGGCTTGAAGAGGAGATGAAAGTGGGTGGGAAGAAACTCTTGCCCTGATAGTGCCACTTCCTCACCCAGGTGCTGATCATGTGCTTATTTCTAGGTACCGTTGGAGACTGGAAACATCACTTGACAGTGGAGCAAAATGAAAGATTTGACAAAATATTCCAAAGGAATATGAAAGATTTGCCTTTGAAGTTCATCTGGGATTTAAACGAGGAGTAAAATCAGTGTAGAAGAATTCTAAAAAAATCTAACTAGAGAGGCTATTTTAATATACACATTAATTTGTGCTTCTTATGCAAATGTTAATTATGATACTTTATTAATAAAAAATGAGTAAACTGTTTAAATTAGTTGTCAGGAGATTGATAAACACTTTGAAATTTCAAAAATTAAAATGATTTAGGAGATAGTCTGCATTGATAGCCTGTATTAAAATTGAAAAACAGGCAGTGTGTAATAGGAATTATAAATGTTCTGAGTTTTCCTTAGTGTGTATTTTTTCTTTACCTACAATTAAATTGAGTATCAATGAAACATTAAACTTAATTATTATAATTAAACATTAATTCTTTGATTTAAAATAATTGTGAATGTTGAAATAAAGAACTCTTATGAAAGCATATGGATCTATTTAATACTTTACCAGATCACTAAAATTTCTTTTAATATATTGATTTTGAGCCCTAACTCGTCTGGCTCAGTGGATAGAGCATTGGCCTGCGGACTGAAAGGTCCCAGGTTCAATTCTGGTCAAGGGCATGGACCCTGGTTGCTGGCACATCCCCAGTAGGAGGTATGCAGGAGGCAGCTGATTGATGTTTCTCTCTCATCAATGTTTCTTACTCTCTATCCCTTTCTTTAAAAAATCAATAAAATATTTATTAAAAAATATATATATATTGATTTTGAGAAAGACATAGAGAGCGAGAAACATGGATTTGTTGTTCCACTTTTTTGTGCATTCATTTGTTGATTCTAGTATGTGCCATGATGGGGATCTAACCCACAAGCTTGGTGTATTGGGATGATGTTTGAGAGATATTAGGGAGAAGAGATTGCGCATTATAAAATACTGTGTTAATAATAGTAATATTATAATTTAAATTTAAATACTTGTAGGGAGAATTGTCTTGTTATATATTTACATTTTGTAGTAAATTTAACCAACAAACATGGGTTTACTAAAAGCAACGGGCTCACTGCTAGGCTCTCTGTAGTTAAGAAAATTTTGAAGAAATACAGTTACTTCCGCAGAGAAGTTTATATTCTAGTTTGGATAGCAAGGTAATACCAAATACAAAAGAATACATTTAAAAATTAGAACTTGCTGTTTGAATTTAAAATATACATTCCAGCTGAGGTTAAATTGAATTAAGTGGCATAATGACTATAGTAGGTGATAAATTTTAAGATGAATTGTACTCTACTAAGAAGTGTTAATGTAAGAAAACATTCAAACCTGTGAAGAATTTTTTGTGAGTTTATTTGAGCCAAACTGTGGACAATTGCCAGGAAGCAGAACCTCAACGAAGTGAGATAATGCTCCAGAGAATGGCGGGTTTTCTCTATTTTTATACATTGCAATCAAGGAGTGTTACATGAAGTTCATTGGTGATAGACTAGAGAGGTGAGAGAAAGCAAAGCAGGGAAACCTCTTGGCTTGGATAAAAAGTAAAATGATGGACACATACTTAGGTGGGTGCAGGAACAATGAACATGATAACAATGAAGGAATTGTGGTATCTGTCCTGGCGCCCAGACACATTAGGGGGTCTAGGAAGAAGGAAGTTACAAGTTACCTAGACATTTCAAGGATATGCTATTATAGATGCAAAGAGACAGATAGGCTCCGTTAAGGTAAAGGTTGACCTTGTCAGTGAAGATACTGGCCTAGGACGTAACTACCCACCACAACTGCTTTTAATTAAAGTTTAATTTCAGACCCTCCTTTGTGGTCACTGTAGGTCTCTGAGATTGAAGACCGCCATGCAGGCCTCCCCTGAGCTTGTCAGGTCAGCATGTGGCCCTTTTCATCCACAAAAGGAACAGATTAGTAGGAAGTAATCAGCACAGAAAAGGGAAAAATCATACATTTGTTGGGTGAAGAACCCTGTGTTAGGTCGGAGAGAGCCCAGGATCGGTTACATGCAGATGTTTGATGAAATAATGGACCCTCCCTGGAATTTCTCACAGGTCAGCAATGCCAGACACAGATACAGGCTCCTCCCTGAAATCCATGACGACCCCCACACAGATACTGACTCCTTCCTGAATACCCTGCCGACATCTGTGGTGGGAACTTCCTCAGCTGAATACCCTGATGACCCCCGCGGTGGGAGCTTCCTCAGCTCATGCCCCCACCCCTCATTAAACACCTGTATAAAAAGAAACCCCCCTTCCATGCTGGTGTGAATCCACTGGCCCTGCCTTTGGTGTTCGTGGGTCACCCAGGGATGCAGATTAAAACCTTTCCTTTTCTTTCTTTTCTGATTGACTCGACTCTGTTTATTTCTTACTCCGCCTCCTGAGCCACCTAACACCTTGAGGCAGAGGCTGTAGCTCAGGTCCAAACTCTAATAGGAGTTGAGAGAGAAGAATATAGAGGTTTCCAATTCAACCTTTCATTGAGTAGAAACCCTTCTGCAATAGCCTGACAGAGGACCACCCTGCTTCTGAACAAGCCCTAGTATTTCCAAGGACACATCACCCCCCAAAGGCATCCAGTTCAATGTCCAGATAGTACAACTTGCAGGAGAGCTGTTATCTATACAATGAGCCCCCAATACTAGTAGGGATGAAATGCCTTGAAGTTTCGTGGAGAGTGAGAGGGCGAGGGCTACACCCTCCATCTTGCCCTGGATCCTCCATTTTTGGGCAGCCATGTGCTCAGCAAGGAGCTTCTTCCCGGAAGCCCAAGCCTCTGCTAGCCACACCTAGGATTTCTTTAAACTAACCAAAGATAATTAAGGGAAGTGCGAGCCATAGACACAACCACATCCTGTGTAACAAGACCCAGACTTGCGCCTGGCCAATCAGCAGGACCCACAGTCCTCTCTCCTCCCCTTATTATAAAACCCCTCTCCCCACAGAGCTGTCTCTCTCTGCCTCCTGCCGCTGCGTCGGCGAGCGTGGGGGAGCCTGAGCTAGCTCGAATAAAGACTCTGTTGCTTTTGCATCGAACTCGGCTGGCTCCCTGATGGTCTTTTGGGGATCCTGAAATCTGGGCATAACAGAGAGCAACTGCTATAAGCAAGGAAGCTTGCAGACTTCATTCAGTAAGTATTCAGAGTCTTACACAGCACATGTTACAATGCCCATTTTACAGAAGGAAGTAGTAAAATAGGAATTTTTAGGGGTGAAATAGGCAGGTTTGGGGAATTTTTAAAATTAAGGGGACCCATGAAAAAAACACAGGACTACAGAGTTGCAAAAGGTTACATTTCCATCAGACAGGCCAGTTGGAAGGGGCAGCAGTTACATTTCCATAAGACAAGGGAACTGTGAGTAGCAAAATGTCTAAATTTAAAAATAAAGAAGGAGGAAGAAAGCCCAGAGGGAATAGGAGAACAGTGAGGGAGGAGAGCCTCACAGTCCCAGGTGAGGTTTGACCTTTGAGCTCAGGAGTTACTATAGTAACCAAATCAAAGGGGAATACTGACCTATCAGAGGGGATGTAGAGGCACAAAAAACCCCCCAAACTGCAGCCTTTATAAACCTGGAAAAAGGAACTAGGTGGGACTCTTTCCCCCTCCCCACGTGGGAGTCTCTACTTGTTCTTCAATTTCCACCTTTGCTATACCATCTTCCCTCTGTAGTTTCATTCTTCCACTCTGATGGACAAGAGCCCCAGGAAGCCATCCTGCCCAGGGGAACAAGGCCTGTTCCAGTCCCAAAATCCCCTACCAGAAGCAGAGCCAGGATTTCACTCAGGTTTGGTTCCATTTGAGGCTGATCAGATTAGCTATGTGTGCTTCCTGTTAGACTAATGGAAGAAGAGATCAGACAAGAATGAGATGTGATTATGAACTTTTAGAGGAAATAGAAATCCTGTGAAATTGATTGAAATCTAATAAATCTAATCTAATCTAATCTAATCTAATCTATTCCATCTAAATTTAACGATAAAGTCTGGGAGTTAACTAGAAGTGGCTAAGAATGTAACAAATAGAACCAATATACCATCAAACTAAAGGATTGTAGCTTTGCATGATAAAAGAGCGATTCCATCAAAAACCAGCTGTCGCCCACCAGGAGTTAATTGGGGGGTTGTGGGGAGGAGTAGGTGAATGAGATGCTGAGACAATCCTCCGCGTGGTCCTAGAGCCGTTGGCGGCCAGAGGGCGCGGGGACCCAGACACCTCTGCCCACTGTGCGGCAGCGGGCCAGCTCCCCACCCACTCTGAGGGCTATGGTGCCTGCTCGCACCAACGTGCCTGCTGGGATCCCCAGGAACAAAGTGAAATATTCAATGCTCTCCAGCACTGACGATGGACACATGAACCCTCAGAAGGACACTTTACCCGCTGAAGATGGCTGTAAACCCCAAAGATGTCCCAGTGTGGCGAGATCGCACTTACTAAAGTGTCAGGAAAGCCCCGCTAAGATTCCCTACAAGGCCATTGCCTGCTTCGCCCTGCAGTTTTTGATAGGCGCTGTTCTCCTGATCACCGGCTGCCTCCTGCTGGCGGGCTACCTCAGCGAAGCAGGACCCAACCGGGCGGTTGCCATTCTCATTGTGGGCATCCTGGTGTTGCTGCCCGGGTCTTACCACCTGCTCATCGCTTGCAAAGCCCATGGAGGCTGCCCTGGCTACTCCTACCAAGACCTTCCGGACTGTGGCGACTAGCCCCACCGCAGCCAGGAGAGTGCGCTGGGGCTGAGCGGAGCTTCAAGGCATTTGGCAGAAGCTGTAGAAATCCATGTCGAAGGATTAAGGAATTCTGCAATTTTGCAGCTACTTGCAAAACTATGGCCAGCTTTTATAAATCCCTACCCAGAATGTAAATTGAATTTATAATTAGACAAACAGGAAACCAGGGCATGCTCTTATTTTGATTTTCCTGGCCCTGGCTAAAACCCCTGACAGATTTCTCCACAGGAATATGAATAATGGAAGACTAGCAATATTGGTTTTATGGGAAAGTAAAAAGTCATTCTGTAGGACAAAATGTTGCCTCCTCCACCCTATTTAGAGATGAGCATTTCTTTAAATAAATAGTTCTTATTAATATTTTTTATCTTGTGACAAATGGGAAATGCAGTCTATCTAATTTCCTATTACTAAGTAATTTGTTGGGAAAATTACTGAGTACCTTATCCCCCACACTTATCTCTAACTTGCATTCTGGATGATCTTGGTAAAATCACGTATCAACTTAGGAAAAGTAAAAAGCACTACAGTTGTGTTTTGTGGAGGCCCCATGAGCTTTAAGACAGAACTGGCTTTAAATCCAGATGCAAACTTTCTAGCTGTATAAGCTGACACAGTACCTTAGTGCTCGGACTCAGAGTTTGGGACCATAATTTCTACTGTTTGGGGTTTCAGTAGGGTCAAAGTATTTTAGAGTAACAGCATGGCACATAGATGTTCCCCAAAGTGTTAATTGCTCACTGTGAAAGAAGCTTCTGCAGAAGACTGCACTCAAAATTAACTGAAGCCACAGTGAATTGCATCTATCCACTGAAAGTTAACAAAACCCAAGAGAATTAGACTGCTCATTTGCAAAGTTATAATCTCAGTTCAAATCAGGACACTGGGTTGCTTTTTATTTGTATGAGCCTTTTCCTTTTGAGTTCTATATAGAAATAGGGCAGAAGCTCATATAATTAGAAGGAGTCTCATGAGAAAAAGAATAGAAAACTAAGCGCAGGGCATGGCAATGGGCCTGTCAGAGGGAGGGGCACTAAAGCATAAGTCTCACTGGTTTCTGATAAATCTGGCTGTGATAGAGGTGAAGAAAGATGCAGGAAGCCGGACCATCCTTGCTGCTTGACGGAGTCGCTACAGGAAAGAAACATCTGCACAGCATATGTTTCAAGGGACCTGGCGTATATAGCATACTGTTCTTAATATGTTTGCTCCCCTTAGCGCTATGTGTTTTAACCAACGTCACCTCTACGAGAAAGGTTGTTTCCCCAGGTAGGGATTTTTCCCTGAAGTTAGGGAGGGGATAAAACCCCTTAACTAAGTGCCAGGCAAGTAGTTAATCACTTTAACTACAATCACGCTTAAGCTACATAATCTTTACTCCCTGGAATGGAGATAAGAAACGCCCTAACCTTTGCAATAGAAATTGACAGGATTAAAATCAACTGGTATAAATACAGATGTAACAAGACAATAAACACCAGAACTTCGCTGGAGATCCAGCGACAGAACCTGGCTGGAGATCCTGACCAGAACCTGGCTACAGAACTTGGCTGGAGATCGTGGCTAGAGATCCTGGCTAGGCTGCTGATCAACTGAACTCTGTCTCCATGTCATTCCTTCTTCACCGACTCCGTCCACACCTTTGGGGACCCCTGGACCTGCTGGGGTTGGACCCCAACAGAAAGAATCTAGAGAAAAGGACTGAATATGGAATATGTCTACAGTTAAGGCTGTGGCTCCAAATTAAAGGATACAATTGATAAAGCAGTAGTATTTTCTAGAATAAAAGATATCATCCCATAAAAAGAAATACTTCCTGAAATGTTGTAAATAAAAATATAGACAGGTTTGTAGGAGATAAAGAAAATAATGTATTTTCTGAAAAAGAATGTTGGCAACTCATAAAGGAGAAGAAAGATACTATGAAGTATGTTATGCTTAGGATGCTAAACAAAAGGTACCCAAGATAAAAGAGAGTTGGTGGTCTTCCATCAGTGCTATATTATGTACCCAGACTCACAATGAATGGGGGAAAGTGATAAATGTCTCAATATTAGTTCGAGATCCATCAAACTGTAGTAAATAATGAGGGATAATATGAGCTGTACCTTGTTTGGGCTCTGATATCATCATCATATCCTCCCTCCTGTAAGAAACCTCAGAATACATGGAAAAGTCCATTGGAAAAGTAACTGGTAAAACCCACCACATCATTAATATGAAGAATTAGTAGTAAAAGTGACTTGGTCATGTAACAAAAGTAACTTTTTAATATATAGAACAGTTAATCAGTGCAATGTTAGTTAAGGAAGGTCAATTCAGGAATAAAAGATCCAAATAAGGTCAATGGTGTAAACTTTAGTCCAGAGGTGAATCTTACCTCAAAGACAAAGAGTATCATAGCGTCATCATATAGAGAAGATATTAAAAATCCAAGCATTGTTTTAACTCCAGACATGGTATACATAGTGTGTATGCTAACTTTACATTTTTAGTTAACCAGGTCACATCTCTATCAAACTCCTATTGAATTATAAATTATATATATTTTGCTTTATTTTTTATATTCAAAGTTTAGACCAATTTGCTAGACATCCTTTTGAAACAATTAAGTTTCCAAACAGTGCCTGACAGTTGTCAAATCACAGTTGACTGGCTCACCAAGGCAAGTCACAAGAAATTCTGGGAGAGAGAGAAGACTTCCGCAAAACCCATCTACAGAGAGAAGATTTCAAAGACCGTTCAGGCAGGCCCACCTGGGGCCGCCCGCCCTCCGCACTTGCCTACACTGGGATCGCCATGATGATCCCAGGAGCAGGCCCACCTGGGGGCTGGCCGCCCTCCGATATTGCCTGCTCTGGGATCACCATGGGGTCCCAGCTGGCAGCGGGGCTTAGGCGGCACACGGGGTTCCCGGCAGGGGGCGGGTCTTAGGCGGCACGGGGCTTAGGTGGCATACAGGGGTCCCAGCTGGGGGCGTGGCTTAGGCGGCATGGGGCTTAGGTGGCACATGGGGGTCCCGGCTGGAGCAGGGCTTAGGTGACGCGACCTCACTGCCTAAGCCCAGCCGCCCAGGGCTGCACACGGTGGCCTGGATGGAGTCTGGCACTGTCCCGCCCTGCCTGCAGTATGCAAATTAGCTGCCATCTTTGTTGTCGGTTACTTTGCATATTGCCCTGATTAGCAAATGGGAAGTGTAGCGAAGGTACGGTCAATTACCCTTTTTGCCTTTTAAGAGATAAGGATTTACTCACATGATTATTTTTTAAATCCTCACCTGAGTATATTTTTCTATTGATTTTTAGGGAAAGTGGAAGAGAGAGGGAAAGACAGAGAGAAATGTCAATGTGAGAAAAACACATCAATTGCTTGCTGCCTGCATGTGCTGTGACCAGGGCTCAGGCCAGGGAGAAGCCTACAACCGAGGTACTGCCCTTGACCGGAATTGAACCCGGAACCCTTCAGTCCACAGGCCTACACTCTATCCACTGAGCCAAACAGGCTAGAGCCTCACATTATCCTATCTAATAATAGACAAACATGGTAATTAACTGTACCTCCAACATGCTTCCCATTGGCTAATCAGGGCGATATGCAAATTAACTGCCAACCAAGATGGTGGCCGGCAGCCAGGCAGCTGAAGCGAACAGAAGGCTTGCTTGCTCCAGTGATGGAGGAAGCCAAGGTTCCCCGCCTGCCGCTGCCGGCCTCTGAGCTGCACTCTAAGGAACAATGTTGCAATTATAGAAGCTAAACAAACCCCAGAAACCTGCTTTCAGTCAGCTGGCCTCGGAGCTGGAGCTGCAACAGTGTTTCAATTATAGAAGCCAAACAAACCCAGATATCTGCTTTCAGCAGCCGAGGTCTCAGAGCTGGAGCCGAGCCTCAGAGCTAAAGCCAGCTCTCAGCTCCAGTGACAGCCATAGAAGGTAAATAAATCCCAGAATAAAAGAAAAAAGAAAAAAAGGAGAGGTTGGGAGCTTCAGTCACCCTCCAGCCTGAAAACGGCCCTCAGCCCCTCACCCAGACTGGCCAGGCACCCCAGTGAGGACCCCCACCCTGAAGGGGGTGTGACCAGCTGCAAACAGTCATCATCCCCTCATCCAGGCTGGCCAGGCACCGAAGTGGGACCCCCACCCTGATCCGGGACTCCCTTCAGGGCAAACCAGCCGGCCCCCACCTGTGCACCAGGCCTCTATCCTATATAATAAAAGGGTAATATGCAAACTGATCCTAACAGCAGAAGGACTGGGAATGACTGGTCACTATGACACACACTGACCACCAGGGGGCAGACGCTCGATGCAGGAGCTGCCCTCTGGTGGTCAGGGCGCTCTCACATGGGAGGAGCTCTGCTCAGCCACAAGCCAGGCTGATGGCTGCCAGTACAGCGGTGGTCGTGGGAGCCTCTCCTGCCTCCTCAGCAGCTCTAAGGATGTCCAACTGCAGCTTAGGTCTGCTCCCTGCTGGCAAGTGGACATCCCCCCAGGGCTGCCGGGCTGCCAGAGGGATGTCTGATTGCCATCTTAGGCCCAAACCCCGGGGATCGGGCCTAAGCCAGCAGGTGGTCATCCCCTGAGGGTTCCCAGACTGCGAGAGGGCACAGGGCGGGCTGAGAGACCCCCCTCCCCCTCCGAGTGCACCAATTTTTGTGCACCAGGCCTCTAGTTCTTTATAATCATTAACATACTGTGTCTTCATGAAATGGGTTATTGATTTATTTTACTTTAGAAATCACTGTGAGAAAAAAGCAGTCTGAATATTTGCAAGGTCATATTTCTGTCACATTAAACCCTTATTTTCTCAGCAATAAATATTTCTCCAATTAAAGAGATTGAAGTCTTCTTTTGGGTCAAATTTTTATTCAGTAAAAAGTGACCATAGAAAAGATGAAAGTACAAACTCCAAGTTACTAACTATAGTTCTAAGTAAGAAGTACAAGCTGACTTTGCCTGGTGTAGTGCCTGCAGAATAGG